CATCCATCCATCCATCCATCCATCCATCCATCCATCCATCCATCCATCCATCCATCCATCCATCCATCCATCCATCCATCCATCCATCCATCCATCCATCCATCCATCCATCCATCCATCCATCCATCCATCCATCCATCCATCCATCCATCCATCCATCCATCCATCCATCCATCCGTCCATCCATCCATCCGTCCATCCATCAATCCATCCATACATCCATCCTTACATCCATCCATCCATACATCCATATATACATCCATTATCTTTACCCGCTGCTTCCTTTTCAAATCACGGGGGTCACTGGTGCCCATATCCAGCAGTCACTGTACGAGACGCAGGGGACACCCTGGACGGATCGCAAGTTCATCACAGTGTATAATTACTATTTCTAATCAAATTAGAATTTCAATCCAGCAAGCTGTGTACCTGTTTGACTTTATTTTTACACTGCTAAAAACAAACAACAACAACAACAAAAAATCCTTTTTTGTTTGGGGATGAGGGTGGATGTGGGTCCAGGAGGAATTCATTTATCTGATTTATTTATTATACTGGACTGTTTTATGAGATACAACCTCAACCTGCAAGAAGAAAATAGGCAACAACATTGTGCACAAAAAAGCAACAAAATAAAAATAAGCAACATGTATCTTGTGTTTTTTTCCCACAAAAAATACACAAATTGTAAAAGCTGTGTAGTTGAGGAAACAAGTTCAGGAAATGAATGTCCACCCTACTAATATTTATGCTCAGGAAGTGCAGGATGGTGTATTGAAACTATATTTCATATTTTTGTGAATTAGCACATAAAGCCATCTTTAGTGACAAACATGGTTTCATCTTTTAGTTTGAGCAGTAACTCATACTTAATAAATACAAATTCATCCTACTTACACCATTATATTCTACCATGTTGCTTTTCCAATTCTGTAGGACCTTGTAAATATTATATTTCTTTTTCACTTTTTGGTAGTTTATTTTGTACCCTTATTGCATGCTTGCTTTAGTATTTATTATTTGTTTTTAGTGAGTTGAAATCAGTTCTTCTCATCCTGAACATTTCATTGCACTGTTGACCCTGTGTTAACCTGCATTTGACAAATAAACAACATAAGATAACTTCATGGTCAAAGATAATTCACATTTTCTTTATTGGTGTCTGACAGAAGATAATTTGAGATAAAAACAGATATTTTATTTTCCTCTTCCTGGTTGTGAGGAGTGCTGGGGGCAATCAATTTATGTCGTGGCCCCCAAAAATGTTACGACCGCCCCTGTTTGGAGCAGCGAATGACGACAGAGGGACAGAGAGACCCATGGACCGAATGGGAGGGAGAGAGGGCGGGGACAACGGGCAGAGAGACATTCACCCAAACTGGGAGAGAGAGCGGAGCGGACAGGCAGCACAGCCTCGGTATGTAGTAGCTGAGGCTGGACTTTTACAAAAAGAGGGGAAAACGACTTATAGGAAGCCAAAAAACAGCAGCTAGATTTTATATACGAACCTTGTAAGGATGAGACAAACGCCGTCTGCCTAAAGGAGACGAAACACGCCGTTATTCAGCTCATTTATCATCGTTTGGACGAAAAAATGGCGAATGACTCTCCGGCCAAAAGTCTGGTGGACATAGACCTGGCATCTCTGAGGGTGAGTGTGTGCTACATGGACATGTTTAAAGGCTCGTCCTGATGTGGACGGATACATTAATTACCCAGTAGTAAGCAGAGGTGTTGACACAACCCTGCGGTGGCGTTTCTTTGTCTAATATCCGCTGGCGTGAGAGGCGAGCCGGGCGCTGCCGGTGCCTGCACCAAGCGAACCCTTCTGCAATTAGGCCAAACCAATTAATCAAGACGTTCTTTTCTTCATGTGCTTTAATCCAGGACCCTGCTGGGATTTTTGAGCTGGTGGAAGTAGTCGGGAATGGCACATATGGACAAGTCTACAAGGTTGGTTTAAGCCTCCGTGTGTGTGTGTGTGCGTGCGTGTGCGTGTGTGTGTGTGTGTTGAAGCTTCAGCCAAGAACAAATAGGCGGAAACTGAAGCACAAACATACAGTTATGCATTTCCCCTCCTCTCAACATCTCTGGAGCACTTTATCATGGCATAGCCCCCCCCCCCCCCTTCCCCCCCCCCCCCCCCCACTCCTCCCTTAGTGACTGGAGCAGTCAGGCCTGGATTATTACTCTGATAGCCTCTCAGATACCTCTCATCCATCCACCCTTACGTCCATGCATCCATCCGTCTGTAATTAGTTTTATTTAGCGATGCAGAATAGAAAAGAATCATCACGGTAATGCTACATCTATTTCTGGTCTTCCGGGAATCTTCCCTGCTCCCCTCATCCACGCCCAGAAAATATAGTCTTTGCATGATGAAATGCGTCAGCCTTGTCCGTGCATCACAAAGAGGCTTCACCATGCTCACCGCCATGGGGTGGGCGGTGTTTCATTGCACATTTGTGCACACCATTGCCTACCAGGCCTTTTTGCTGGAGCGGCTGTCTGTGCTGCATTAATGGGGATAGGCCTGTTCACACACATGCACGCACACATGCACGCACAGAGGCTGAGGAGTGATAGCGACCTGGTGTTTCCACCTCCTTCAGCCATCAGAGGAGCAGCATAATGGTTCTGCTGCTAACTCTGCTTGTCCTTCCAAGCTGTTCCATTTGAGCGTTAACGTCTGCAGCAGGACCATCATCCATGCCTTGCTAAAGTTAGCAGCTGTGACTGACTCATATTTGCCTGTGTATTGAAAACAGTCGGGTGAATCGCTTCCTTATCTGCTCTTTGTGCTGCCGGGGAGTCGTTTCATTGCATGGCTGTGTTCTGAAAACTGTGATTTTAACTTTAATCGCATAACGGAAAAGGTTGGTGCTGTCACCATGATGTCATTCAGTGAGGTGCTAACCCACTGGGGTCGGAAGCATTTGTAAGGTGGGGGCGACGCACTGGTGGGGTGGGGGACGTAAACACTTGATTTAATGATTCAGTAACTATTTTAGAGACGGATTCCTCATTCAACTACATGTAGTTCATATCCTGTTTTTAAACTCACTCCTATGACTAAAATAATGAAATTAATGTGACACAATTTATCACAAACAACGACCTGAGGGGTGCACTTGACTTTTATTTTGTTTATTTTGTATTTGGTGTTATTTGTAACACAACATGCTATTGTTCTAAACAACGGTGACACTGAATTCTTGTTTAAAAATAATAATATTAACTTTACACAATGAACATTTTAAAAACCATCAACAATGAATTTAGGGGAGATTTTTACTTTTTCCTAATTTAATGATAGACCTACTCACAACAGAACATGACCTGGCATCATGTAGGGATGCACCGATCCACTGCTTCCACTTCTGATACCGATACCTGAGATTAAATATTGTCCGGTACCAATCTGTGTCGTGAGTTCGATACCGCGTGATGTCACTCAGAGCACAAAGCATAGAGTTAGAGTGAATAGATCTGCCCAGTCATGGATCGGTTACATTGTCACCTGTACCTGATCCAGAAGTTGTTTCGATATCGGGACCGATACCGATATTGGTATTGGATCGGTGCATCTCTAGCATCATGCAGCCTTCAAAACTCAAATTACACCGTGCGTTACAATAGTGACATCAAAATAAAAAACAAAACACTTTTTAGTCAGATTTATGAACAGCAGAGGTGGTGCAGAGGTTAGAGAAGGTGGGCCTGTGACCTGAAGATTGCCAGTTCAACTCCCGGTATCGTCAACATCAAAATGTGGGTGGGATAGTTGAAGCACCCACACCTGCCTCCACCCTCATTTACCACACCCTGGGCCCTTGAGCAAGGCCCTTAACTAGTGTTGTCTTCAAGACCACCTAACCCTAGACCAAGTCAAGACCAAGACCAGAGTGTACCGAGACCAGACCAAGACTTTTAGGGTCCAAGACCAAGTCCTCAAATAAAATAAATAAAATATAAAATTTTATTTAAAATATATTTTATAAAAGTTACATACTGCAACTCTGTTTGCTTTTGAGTGAATGTATCAGCTTTTATAAATTTTCAAAGCTACATAAAGAAATCAGACATTCAGTGACCTAACTTCCTGTGATTCAACAATAGAATGACACGACTGTTAAATTGGAAGCAGTTTCATGCCACGTCTTAAAAAGCTGCAGTGGTAAAACACTCATGAGTCCAAACTCAAGACCAAGGATAACCATACAGCTGCACAGTGTACATATACACCTAAACTAAAAAGTTACAGAAATGGAAATGAGTTTAAAGTAAGGTTTCATTGCATTTTAGAAACACGAGCGATTGCAACATACTGTGTCCTAAACGTGCCCGATGGGGTCTCGTTAAAATACCTCCTCGACTGAAAACCCTTTCCACTGGTGCAGAGGAGGCAGGGACTGACATTACCTTCAGCGCTAAATTGTGGAGTTGTGGAAATCTGGCATGGTTTTTTTCCCAGAAGACAAGTGCATTGTAAGTATCAGAGTCACAGATGGCATCAAAGTATTTGCTTATCTGTGTTGCAATTAGGGATGGGGCCGATCCGATCCAGTATCGGTATCGGCCTCCGATACCAGCATAATTTACGTATCAAATTTTTCCGATCCACCTGCCGATGTTTCCGATCCATGATGCATGTTGGCTTCAAACTACGGAATGGATTTCCTGAACGGCGGTGTGTCTCATGAACCCAGAGTAATAAGACCCGCCTCACATTCAGGAAATCCAGTTCATAGTTTGCAGCCAGCTACAACGTGATGACTGAGTTAGCAGCACTGTGGCTAACAGCTAACAAACTTTTCATCTAAACATGTCGCTGTGTGGAAGTATTTTACACTAAACACCACAAAACAAGACAGCAACGTGCAACGTCTGCAGGGCCATAGCACCACATTAAACCGTGGTAAAGTTAGTTTTACGATGGACATTCAAGTTTTCTTTGCTCAACCCACAACAGGTGACTCGACCCCGGCCAGCCGCGTCCAATCTGCAATCGGTATCGACCGATATTTAGATTTAGTTATCGGGATCGGATCGGAAGTAAAAAAAAAAAAAAAGTGGATCGATGCATCCCTAGTTGCAATACTTGAATCCTGGACTGAGCTGGGACTGTAGTGGGACAGAAGACCAGGGCATTTGGTCGGTGGTGAATCACTGGATCCACATTCATGGCTCCTGAGCACGTGTCATCTTTACTGTCCCTCATCTTCTCCACCTCAAAGATCAATGTTTCTGAAACACAAACACAGTGACTGAGTTACATTGAAAGGAATATGCACATATCAAAGTTGAATTAAATACTTTTAGGACCTTTTATAGGGCCCTTTATTAAACGATCAATTAAGTTATTTATTTATTTATTTTAATATTTTCATTGACCCTTTATTTATCCAGGTAGTCTCTATGAGTCACGAGAACTCATTTTCAAGAGAGACCTGTTTAGGAGTGGATGGTGGGGGTTAAGGGCCTTGCTTGGGGGCCCAGGGTGGGGTGAATGAGGGTGGAGGCAGGTGTGGGTGTTTCACCTTTTTCACCCACATTTTGATGTTGACGATACCGGGAGTTGAACTTGCAACTTTCCGATCACAGGCCCATCTTCTAACATCTGCACCACCACTCCCCCAATTATATTCTTGCTATTCAAATAAACAAGGTTATTGTCAATTTAAATGCTGCTTATTTTATCCAGTGCAGAGGTCAGTAAAGAAAGGATTCTATAACTTGTTATTTATTTAGGCTACAAGGTGTTGTACTAAATCTAACCGCTGGCCCACTTTTTTCAGTAGTACTCAAAACACTTACATTGAACAACAAAAAAGGTTGAATCATGTCATCTGGACTTAGTTTTTTTGTTAAAAAGAAA